AGCAGAAGCAGAAGCAGAAGCAGAAGCAGAAGCAAGCCAGCAGCAAACCAAGTGTACGCATGGGGACCTTGTCATGTAACTGAGAAAATGTACCTTCTAAGGTATCGTTCGGGTATCGTTGAAATCGCCCATACATGGAAACAAAAATGGATCCGCACCCTTTCCCGATCTTCCCATGATCAAGGTCAAGCTGAGTAGACCCCCACTGTGCAGGCCAATACGGCTCCTCACCTTAATGGCAGCAATGCAAGTCTTAGAGGTATCATCTTTAGGGCGTCCCCTGTCATCATTCGAGGAAAAGCACTGTGTGAAAAACGCCCCAGTTAAAACTACACGACGATAACTTTGACTCTGACTCATATGGATCTTGGTCAAGATCACCAGTGAACACCGGAGCTGGTGGAACTTGTCGACACCGCCAGCCTTTGTGGGGTTCCAGGCGCTTGCGTTGCTGCTTGCTTTCGACGACCTCGACTGCCTTGGCTCCGCCTTAAGGCGGGTTGCGAGGGCTCAGTCCTGTGGGTCCATGGCTTGGAAAGCAATCTAGAGAAGAAGCGCCGCCATCAGTTGCGTCCTCATTGGCGCCAAACTCGTCAACCGAAAGAGGCAGTGACAATTATGTTCGGCGGCTGTTTTTGGTCCTGGGAACAGCAGCAACAACGAAGACGAGTTGTTCATGAGCTGGCAACCGGAAAGCTTTGCGCAGAACTGCCAAGTTCCGATGTAGAACCTCTGAGTAGAAGTGTCATTATACGATGCAACATATCTGTGGTGCCAAGACATACAACAAGCATATGTTGCACAATGACGTCAGAGAATTGGTGTTGCCACCGCCACCGCAAGACGGCACGACAGATGTCCGTTCCAGAGGTCCAATCCTTTTGTGCGGAATACAAATCTCCCAACGAGACTCACAGAGAAAGAACAATTGATAACTGTTTGTATGCAATACGTGGACTTTAGATTCCAAAGATCGAGAGACAAGGTTTTTGCATGGAAGGCGTGACAATGACCACATAGAGATATAGATCTTCCAGAGTGAAAGAAGTGAAAGACAAAACATCAGCTGCGTACAAAGTTAGTTTAACAAGAGAGAGAGAGAGAGAGAGACAGATGAAGAGAGTGAGATGGAACATGCAAGGAGCTTTGAGTGTGGATTGCTGAAACATGTGGTAGAGTGTAACAGCGACAGGTGACCTCCACCCTAGTAGCAATGGCCTCCGACCTAGAAGGGATGGCCTCCAACCTACTAGCGATGGCCTCCATGGCTATCACATGCATGAACCATTGCCTAAATTATCGCCCTGTTTTCGATATGGGGGGGCGTAGTACGAACCTGGCTCTTCTTCTGCACAGGGCTTTTTTAGGGTATGAAATGAGAAGCGAAGGAAGCGTTGTCCCTGTTCTCGCTATTTAATGGATGGGACAAGATTCACTCGAGGGCACTGGGTTGCTGATGTTTTGCGTGCAACTTCTTCTCATCTGGTGTCGAAGCTGTGGCTTGCATGTCTAATCTGTCCGTCCTCCCCAAAAGAATCAGCAACTAGTTTGATCTTTGCCATCTGACCAAAGCTTCTCTCTCATGACACCTGCCTACCAAGCTTGACAACTGTATTTCATGCTCGGTTTTAGGGTTGATGTTTCCTGGGTTTCAACTTGGTGGCACCCAAAACACGGTCCTGCCTTTCGAAGCAAGCTGGCTGCAGCGTCTTGTTGACGTGCCTGCACGCACTGCTTTTTGAAGTTGGCTTTCAAAGTGCTGATGGCTTCAAAATGTTTCAACACACAAACCACTTTGAACATCTGCACCTTGACGCAAGCAGAGATGCACGTGTTCACTGGAATCAAATCATACCCGAAAAGAGCAATCTGCATGTCCTCAAGCTTTACAGCATCAACTGTTAAGTTTGTCAATTGTTAAGTTTCTCTAGGAACTTGACGAAGGTCCCCCCCGCCGCCCTAAGGGGGAGATTCCTTGAAGAAGCGTGAGCTATCCTACGTCCATATGTAGTAGTTTACTGTAGGTACTATCTACTTTTTGCTTCTACTAGCTACCTATAGCCTATAGCTATTAATTTCCTCCCTCTACAGCCTATTCCCCCCGGGCTAAACAAAAAGTAACAACTAAATAAACAAAAGTAAGGTCTAATAGTAGCTTCTTGTTCGTAGTAGTAAGGCCAGGAGCCCCTAGTAGCGATGCCCTTTGTTCCTAGTAGCGAACTTTGAGCGCCCAGAGTCTGAGAGAATCTGTAGAGCGTGCTGCCATTGTGTGCTCCGCTCACAAGCCTTAAACCAAAACCGAACGGACCGAAGAAACCGTCGAATTTGCAAAATGAAAACGGTGCCAAAACTTAATTATAGTCTCCTTAATTAGGTAAGGGCTAAACAAACTGCTAGGTAATCTGCTACTAGCGTCGCACTTTTCACTTGGTTCCTAGATTCATTTCTCAAATGCAAGATTCTTTGCCCCATGTTTTGGGCCCAGTAACACTGATTGCAGAGCTAAAGGTTACAAGTGTGGGCTCAACCAGCTGAAGCAGCAGCAAAGGCACCTGGAAAAACACAAGATCAGGTCTAAATCCAGTGCTCTGGGGTGCTTCGCCTGCCATTCATGACCATTGGCACAGGCCGTAATCACAGCCTTAACGGGGTTCACATGCAGGATATGACATGAACAAAATGCACAACTCGCTTAGCCAGCTTAACGCAAAATACGATAGGCATATTTTGCCTTCGTCCAGTGACATTGCAAGCAATCGCTGTGAAATGCCCGACATTTGTCGCAGCAGCCAGGAGATGCAACGCCTGGAGAGTGGGAAGGGATGGCAGGCGGTCTTAGTAACAGGTGCATCGCTACTAGTAGCTTCTTGCTACTAGTAATGCCAATTGTTAGTAGCGATGCCCTTAGATTGTAGCTTAGGCTTTGAGCTTTGAAGAGCCGTGTAGAAAGCATGTCGTCACAAGGTGGGTTCAAAATCGTCATTAAAAACATATAAAAACTCGGTCTCCCGAGCCAGGGAAAAGATCATACGCATAGCACAAAAAGCTTAGAATCAGAGGGAACAAGTTAAACTTATGCCAGCATCATATAACCAGTTCCACAAGCACAAGGAGCAACACTCCTCCATGACCCTCTATGACTTTTGATCTACAAACTAGATTGGACTTATTTTCCTGTGAAGGCCAAAGGCAGGAGCAAGCACGCTACTAGGGGCTCCTGGCATCGCTACTAGGAGCAAGAGGACGCTACTAGGGGCTCCTGGCCTTACTACTAGGAACAAGGACGCTACTACAAAGGAGAAGGCAAAAACACAATTCACCCTCAAGGTGAAGTTGGTGGTCGCCTCTCTCCAGTCGCTGTGCCGTGCACAAGCAGAAATGCATGCAGAGTAAGTAATTGCATTCGGAGACACACCTGCAGCGCGACGTGCAAAAGCTTCGTACATTGAGAGAAGGACTTTGAACAAAACACACGGACATTCTTTCAGTTCATCCTTTCTTTATAATTTGTTGTGCGCCTAACTGGTACGGGCTAGCAAAGCAAGCGTAACCGCTGGTAGTTGAGCCTACAAGTAGTTGCTTTTGCTTTTCAAGAGGCACTTTCAAGGATTGTAGTAGCAAAATAACCAAGCGGCTGGCATGCTGCATGTGGTCAAAAACCAGCAAGGCCATCTTCCATTCATGATTCTTTTCACAAGCAGTGATGGCTGAACTGTACACCACCACATCTGCCAAGCTTTGCAAAGGGTGCAACTTAGGCGAATGGTAAAGTTGCTCAAAGAAAAATAAGAAGCACAGTCCTGAAAAACACAAAAGTGCGGTCATCATGGCCTGGCATAATTCGAGTCTCCTCCAGCCCTGGATTGGTGAGATCAATGATCCGACAGTTGTCACAAATCTGTGAAGAATCATTGGATCCTCAATCTTTGTCGGTTCCAAGAGAATTCAAACTAAGCTTCGACAAATTGGGAGAACATGCGTAACGAGTTGGCGCACCATATAGGAGATCCAGTGCCAAAGGCCAGTGACCAGCATGCTCACAGGCTCGGATTCCAGCAGCAACACTGAAGGCATCCGGCTGCAAAGGGCCTTTCACGCTCCCGATATCCGGTTGCCTCGGTTGCCTCGGTTGCCTTGACTAACATATCGTCCAAGAAAACAAAGAACAGATTATAGCATGTTAACAAAACACCAGTCTTTAAACAGATTTGTCAAGCACCGGCTATACACTACTTTATCGAGTCTCAATGACTGAAGTTTGCCCTTTAAAAAATGTTTTAAACTTTTAGTTTCCAAAAACAACATAAATTACAGTAACAAAAATAACCAACTATATCAAATTGGCTGTTTTTCTTCGCAATTTCCATCAAAATCTCGTAAGAGCTTCGACGCGAAGGCTTCTCCTGCGGCCTTGGTACTATGTTTACTACTAGTTTCTTGTTGTAGTACTTCATGCTATCTCTTATCCGCAAACCTAATACGTAAATAGAAAGGACAAGGAAGTGACAAAAAACAGGATCACACACGCATTTCCTTGTGACGCCATACGACGCCTTGCCACAGCCGAAGGACAGGATTGACACCTGTTTGCGCCTGCTTGAAGGCTCTGCAGCCAATGAAGTGCCAAGGCCCAGTGACTGCAACGAAAGAAACAAAAGATAACGAGTGACAGGATTGAGAGATTTCATCAAATGAGCGAGGCATAAACTACTCAGATCCAAACTCTTGAACCAAGCGGGCTGGCATTTTGCAAACATCCGGTTTTCGAGGAATGGCTTTGTTCCTCCTAGGTTGCTTGCACTATGCTGAGACATTCTTGCATATCCAAACAGAAAGATCTTCCCCTGTCTTCCAAGAGCTGCAAAGTGGGGCGAACGGGCAAAGGCACAGATGGCGTCGAGGCTTGTGCAGATGCCACAGCCAGAGAGTGGGCCAATTTGTCCCAAGCCTCGGCGTCGAAAATCACGGTCTTTACGCAACGTTGCAACGCTGAATGCATCAGCATATTTTATCTTCATGTGATGCATTTTATGCGAAAGAAGGAAACATCTTGCTGGCCTGCTGCATGTTAAACACATCTATGTACCCAAGAGTCTTAGGTGCTGGAGACCGTAGTTGTAGCCGTTAAGCTACACCCCAAAGTTTCGGTTAAAGCTCAGGTTCAGGTTCAACATATTTTGGACCAATACTACGCTGGACACGGCCTAGCCTACACGTAGGCGGGGCGGTGCCAGCGGCCGTAGTGTTGAGCTCAAGATCTAGTGATCTTAGTCCCAGCTTTAAAGGTTTCAGTGCACAGCGGACGTTTACCGAGCTAGGCTAGGTGCCCCAGGCTTTTTGAAATGGGGTTTGGGTTTGTTCCCTTCGTGATTCCCCTTCATCCCTTTCACTTTCCTATTTATTTTCTTTACATGTCTCCTGTCTTCGCATCCGGTCATTTCGTCTTTTCTTTTTTTGTATGCACACCTGTCGGGGCAGTGTGAATGTGCACAGCTACAAAACTAGGCTTTTAGGTGCTACGTCTTACTAGTAGCAAGGACGCTACTAGGGGCTCCAGGCCTCGCTACTAGGAGCAAGAAGCTACTAGGTGCCACGTCTTGGCGGTGTGGCTCGTTGTCTCCACCGCGGCACGCTTTCATCGTCGTCCTCCCTTCATGTCAATTGCCCCCCTGTGTGTGTATCCCTTGGAATCATTTTAGCTTTTAACTATGCAGGGGGGGCAGCAGGAAGGAAAACAAAGACACTCTTGAATTCCTACATTGAGTTCGGAGCGGGACGAAGGCACGCTCATGGCTCATGAGTTACCACAGAGTGTATTGGTTCATGTTCACAGCAGGACAGCGGTGACGGCAGTCGAAATCCGCGAAGGGCAGTGTGTAGCAACTTACCTGCTGAGCGGGCATCCTAAAAATCCTAAGAATAGATTGTGTTGAAGCATATGACCGACATGAAGAAGCTTCAGCTTTTAGGAAGGGCGCAGGGTTGTAACGCTGGGGACAGAAACGCAGGGAACAGAAGCAAAATACACACTCGAGATAAGAGTTTGTACGAGGTCGCTAAATGCCTCGACGAAACCTACGCGAACAAATTGTCTGAATCAAAGTCAGTACATGTTAGTACACAATGCGGTCCAACCATCTCAAAGGGCTCCCAAAGCGAAGTCCCGTCGTGGAAAGTGAGCGAACGACGAACAAAGCTGCGTAGCAACCGCTGTGGATAAAAGTTTGACGAGAGGTGGAAGTCAGCATGCCCCAAATTGCTGTGGTCATTGCCATTCAATACTCACTTTTGGAACGCGTTTTGACGATTGTTGAAGATATTTGGGATGCTGATGCTCAAAAAAAATCCAAACTGCGGTGCTTTTGCAATTGTTGAGCGAAAGTATGACTGCTAGATACTGCTCAAAGCTGCGTAGCGGTGTTTTTGGGCAAACATGTATTAAGACCATGTTTTTGGCTGATGCAAGAAAGTCGTGCATGCCACGGTTTTTGGCTTGCCGAGGTTCAAGAACATCGGAACACGTCAAAAGTTGGTTTTGGATTCCGATCCCCAACGAAAAGACATCATAAATACATGTGTATGTATTGTTTTTGTTTCAATTAGCTTTTCTTTTTTTGCACGCTTTGGAGTATCATTGCATGCGCGCCAGAGCATGCTTCAAAAACTGCTTTTTGGCACGCGCAGCACAACAACACCAACGACCAACAGCAGCTGCGGCATAGCCTTAAGCTGCAGCAAAGGAGCCTTTTTGAGATCTCGAAGCATCTCTTGTTCCGACGTCTCCAGGTCCAGGTACCCTTTGCTTCGCTCAAAGTTCACAGAGAGAAGTGCCGTCGAAAGAGACATCAAAATCACTGCGCAAACGGCCAAGAAAGCAGCGATGGTACGGCCCATTTGAGTGAAAGGATAAACGTCGCCATAGCCAACGGTGGTCAGAGTAATTGTTGAGAACCAAAAGGAGGAAGGAATACTTTCAAATCCATGACAAGGTAATCCAAGTTCTTCACAACGGTCTGACTCGACCAGGTATAACAAACTCGCAGATACGATAATCAAAAACGAAAGAATTGCCAGAATTGCCAGCGCGCTGCTGTTCAAGACATGAAAAAACATGGCACTGCACAAGGCTAGAGTAGGGCATTTTCGCGTCAGCTTCAAGAAACGAAAAATACGTATCAACCACATGATGCGAAGGATAGGCGAGGCTAGCATGGTATGCAAAGTGAGGTTTCTACAGAGCGCAAACTCAACGTAGCCAGGCAAAACCGCCAAAAGATCGATCCAATTGAACAAGTCCGTGAAGAAGTCAAGTAAGGATTCTGCTGCAAGAAGTCGAAGGAGCAACTCAAATGTAAAGATCACGGTAACTACAGCCTCAAGCCAAAAGAAAAAGAGAGATGTCTGATGCAAATCTGGAAGCGTTTGAAGGATCACAGCACTGCACGAGACAATGGTGAGTAGCAAAACCACGATCTGCAGGGAAGATCGTGGATTTTCGACGAAAGTGCGCAAAACCTCCAGCTTCATGGCTTGATCCACATCGCTCGGCTTGAGCTGCTCGAGCACAAACTTGTCAGGCTGCAAAACAAAGACATAAACAATTAAAGGTAGCATTTTCTACTAGCGATGGCCTCCAACATAGAAATCTCGAACAACAATTTAACAGAAACAGCTTCAGTACCGCAAAGGTTGAAGTTGATCACACACACACACACACACGACAAAACTCGTCAAATTTTCGCAGACCTGCTGCGCTCTGCTGCGGTGATGGCCGCATTGTGCTCCACCAAGACCGATGAGCACTTCAGCATCTTTCCGGCCTGAAGTCCCAACAAGATCTCTTCGTGATGAAAACAACAAAAGCGTGAGGTTGAAAGTTGAGGACACGGCACTTAGGGATTCTGCGTGTCTTGATACGAGATGAAAAGAGGAAGGGAAGAAGCAAGCAAAAACAAACGATAACAAATCTCTAAAGAAAAACAAGGGCAGAAAAGAGAAGGATGAAAAGGAACACATTGTGGGATGCGTTGCCGGTTGGACAGTGAGGTGATTTGGAGATCCTCAATGGCCCTTTCGGAGCACGATTCAACATTGGAATATGTAATCCGATGGTCAGACTTCGATACTTTGCCATGCAGGTGAGTTGGGCACTGCATGTGGGCCGTGGGGTTTCACAACGGGCTGCATCTGGGTTGTGTTGGGCATGTATATAGGTGCATCAGGGAATGGTAAGTTGAGGTCTCAAAGCACATCAACGAAAGGTCAAGGGGGGATGAGGTTTGAGGCGGCACGGGGCCTTTGATGAGAACTATTTACTTCTCAGATCAAACAAATTCCACAGGAAAACTGACGATAAAAAAGCTTTCTCGATTCTGGCCTCCTTCAGGAAACTCGAACTCTGTACAGGTGGTGTACATGCAGCTGCGGCTGTGAGAGCAAGCACAGGCGGACTGGATTTGCCGCATCTGCCAAACTCGACAAGAACCGTGCAAAACAACAAAAACATGCATGCATTGTTTTCCGTATGAAATCTTAACATGTGCAAAGTTCATACCCAAACGTGCAAAGTGCAAGAAAACATGTCAATCAAGAATGCCTTCACTCTCCAACCCTCCCCGCCGTGCCTGGCTGATTCACGATATTGTTGAATCAAAGAGACGGCTTCCTGCCAAACAATTGAGAACAACACAATGCAAATTGCATAGCCGGCGTAGTTTTCGAGTGTACGTTTCGTGTGCAGTTGCCTGCCACTTGCTCAGGGACTCTGCCGCTGCGACACTTGAGATGAGAGCTGCAGATGTCCTCTGTATGGTAGTGAGCACTGGCCTTTTGGAGAACGCAACTCAACAAACTTTGATGCGCTTAGACTATATTGATTATATCCATTCTCACATCTCACGTCCTTAGGCGAACTCCGAGTTGCAAAGCCGATGTTTTTGCCAATTGCAAAGCTTCCTCCCAACGCCAGGAGGAAGACAAGGCCACTACCAAGCTGCCTGGAGAGGTTTGAAGTAGCACGTCAATGATGATATATATATATATATAATACTACAATATATATGACCATATGAAAAAAAACACGTTATGCATCATTATGCGTATTGTACATACTGGCAACACCTCACGATTGCTACCGAGTGGCTCGTGGTGATCTCATGGGGCACCATCTCTTCTAACATCGACTGATACAACCCAAGACCTGATCAGGTTGCCGCTTTCAGGCTTGACCTGTTCCCTACAATCTGGTTTCGTTGCGTTTCCGAAGTTGCTCAACCGGTCGCCACGGTTCAGGACAAAAAGGTTGTCTTAAATCTTCCTTTAACTCATCTGACCCCTACTGTAGACTTCAAGACATTCTTTATCCATCAGAAATGATCCTTCATAAGCAGGACTGCAGTACTCTCACGCGCGCCTCCCACGGGAAAATTTTGAACATGCACCATTTTGAATGTGTTGGTGGGCTGCTGCGCTGCACATTTGAAAGGTATAAATTCTACTCGAAGTCGGTTTCATGTTTCAATGTCACTGCACTGAAGTGCCTTTAGTTTTGCCATGAAACCGAAGGTGCAACTTGAACGCCCTCAAATCAATTTTGCCAGCATTGAACTTTAGCATTGCCAATGGCATAGTTTCGTGGCCCCGCCTTCTTCGAGTTTCCCACTTTTGATGCAAGAACCTATGACCACCCCGTGCAGAATCGCCGAGGGTTGTAGGCTGTCACACTTCATGATTTCCAGAAACGCCATTGCCTCCAATTGCAAATCGACTCTGCCCTCATTTATGGCAGATCGACTGTGCCCTCAAAGCTGGGAGGAGGGCCTCTTCCCATTTTCTTCCACCTCAGAAAACAAAATCGACTTCCCACACTCGAGTTTTTCCATTTCGTTCCACTTTCGCTTTCTTCGTTCTGGGCATTTGACGCTCGCAAGCGCTGATCAAAGTTGCGCAGCTAATGGCATCTCGATCAGCTCCCATCTGACTGAAGAACGCGAGGGCTTTGCGCCACTCGCTTGCTTTTTCGCAAGCACCCACCTCACAAAGCAACCATTCTATACAGCAGCAGAGATGGAGAATCAAACACAGCGCGTCACAAGGGAAAAGTGATCAGCTGAATTTTGCAGCGTTTTTTCGACGCTGCGACTGGCACAAAATAGCGGCGGTCATTTCAAGTGCAGGCCTTTGATCAAGCTAAGCATGCGTGTGCCCATGGCATTGGACGACTCACATGACTTTTTCTTGCGCTTGTGATTCTTGCTATCCCTCCATCATGCCATGTCCATGTCGCTTCACTGTAAATGATTTTGTGATCTGGGCAAATGGTCTTTGGTCCGTCGCTCACGGAGGGCTGGCTGGGCCATTACGGATTCATCTTTGTACCTTCTCTTCTTTCCAGGAAGGTCCGGTGCAGCCATTTGACGTGGAAAGAGCACTTTGAAAGGACCGGCCTTGGAATCGTGACCTCAAAGCAGATGAGGCCTTAAGATCGATACACAAATACTTGCTCGGAAAATACTTCTTTGTGCGTTTGCCCATTGTGTTTGTCCGGCACCATTAGGTGTTGCCCTGGATTTTGCTATAAGTGCACCTGCATCAGCACAAGGGTTGAAATCCAAATTCTGATAGGGGACCTGCCCCTTAGTGTTTTGCAGGTGGCTGATCTATCGCCCTTGACGCAACAGGCTACGTCCACAATCCTGGCGTGACTCTACCCGGTGTCGGTGCGGCGAGTTTTTCCTCAAAGTCTTCTTTTAGTCGCTTCTTGTTACTACTAATAAGGCACTTGTTACTAGTAGCGATGCACTTGTTCCTAGTAGCTTATTGTTCCTAGTAGGCTTGGCATGGGCAGAGATTGCCGCGGTTTGAGACATAGTTCCCTACTGTGAAGCTGCAGCCTGCAAGCGGTCCTTCCAACCAACCTACTTGAAAGGCACGCCTTCGCAATCGATCCTCGAGCAATCCTATTCGTTGGGCACACAAGTATGGATCAATCTGTGATTAAACAAAGACATGTATACTAGGAGCAGTATTCGCTACTAGGAGCAAAGGGCCTTACTAGTAGGAGCAAGGACGCTACTAGGGGCTCCTGGCATCGCTACTAGGAGCAGTGTTCGCTACTAGGAGCAGTCACTTGACGGCAATCTCTCCCCTCCGGAAAGTCGAAGTTACTCCAGCTCTTCCAAATGAGGGCGTCAAACCCCAACGCATCTGGCGCCCGCTTTGACGTCCTGCTGCCAGCCCATCAGCCAATCTCTAAACCCCTTCGTGTCAATCTGTGCTTGGCCTTTTTTCAACTGACGGATTTGGCTTGACATAGCCGCTTTGGAAGTCCACGAGACAATCCAAGCAAAGAACGAGGATACCGCTGTAAGTATTGCCCAATGAAAGCAATTTACTTCTGCAGTTTCCTGATTTGAAGAATCTTGCGCGCAATCCTTGCCCACTGGCAGCCGGCCCATGCTGAAACAGTGCTGAGCCTGGAGCGAAGGAATTCTCGAATTCCTTCAGTCATTCCCTGGAGCATGCGCGGGGCGTCGCTACCATGCAAAAGATCAGTTTCAGTCTCAGTAAGAGTGCGCAGCAATCGATCCTCATGCAATCATTTTCCTCATTGGGCTCACAAGTATGGACCAACCGCTGATAAAACACAAATGGAGCTGCAAGCGCAGCTACCAAACGGCTAACCTCTACACGGGTCAACTTCACAACAATCCAGCGCAAAATCCAAGATGGCACATTCCGCCAAGCCACAAGGGCTCCATAGGTGACCTTGTCCGGTCGATGCTTGGTGCGTTGCATCTCAGTGAAGAGATGCAAGGACTGCTTCCACTGCCTCAGCATCTTCGACCTACTTGTTTTCAAAACCAACACAAACCTGGTACTTGACAGTTGACTTCACACCTTCGCAATTCATTTTTCCCTCTCCCTCTCTCTCGTTTCCCCATTGCGAAGGCATGATTGCACTGCATACGTTGGGATTCCCACACGTCTTTTCTTCATGTTGCGTTTGAACTCTTTATGTTCCGTGTTGCTTTACATACAACGCAAGTCTTATCTCTTCTGAGAAGCTGTCCCTTGCCGCAGCTGGCCATGGTTGCGTTGAAGGTGAAGGCGTCAGCCAAGCTTCGGGCGCTGCTCCCTCTATGTGCTCTCTCAAAGAGCTCCAAAGCCCATGGCCATTGCCTTGAGATGAGACACGAGAACAGTCTGATGGGAGTGCTTTTGTAAAAAGGGCCTTGATCTGAATATGCACATATGGAGCAACTGTAGATGGACAAACCAACAAACCTTTCCAAAATAGCTTCTCTTTCTCAAATTACAACTCTTGCACGCCAAGAGTTCGGAAGAAACCAAAAAGAGAAGTGAGCATCAAACGGCACTTGCAGACATGTTGCGTGAAAGTTTTGTTTTGGAAGCCTCAACAACGACAACAACAACAACTACTACCACTACCAACCACTACCTACTACTAACTACTACTAACTACTACTAACTACTACTGCTACTGCCACTGCTACTGCTCCTGCTGCTGCTACTACTACTACTACTACTAGTACCACTTCTACTAGTACCACTAGTACTAGTAGCACTAGTACAAACACTACGTACCACTACTGGTAAAAGGTACTCGTTGGCTGGTTGTTTGGGGGGGGAAAAAACAACGACAGGGTCGCAGTTTTTGTTTGTACCTTGTTCTTGTTCTTGTTGTTGTTGTTGGTGGTAGTGCGGCGCTGCCGGCGACGGGGGCGGTCAGCACAACAAAACAAACACCACGCATCAATGTGGAGAAAAAGAAAGAAAAGACAGGGGAAACTGATCCAGGGGTGTCGAAACTGAAAAACAGCGGCGAGAAGCCTCCAAAAGCCAACAGAGGCCATATTAAAAGAGCAGTTCCCAGTTCCGAAGAAATCGAATTCGAATTGGAACGGTCACTTTCTGATGTTTCAAAGGCACGTCGTCTACAAGTCCGTCTCAACAGAATGACCGGAAGAAACAAGTTTAGCAAGGGCAACGCACGTGAATCATGAACAGGTCGGCTTCTGAATGCAAGGGCTGGTATATACTGTTGAACTTTATACTTGCGAGGCGAGTAAGATTTTCTTTTTACTTGTATCCAAGGATTTATAGACTACACATTTAGGGGAAACATGGAGAAACGGTACCTCATCTTACAGCCACAGCCATAAACTCTGTCAGGGTGCGTGCAACGACTGCAGGCGGATATAGCTGCCTCTGCTGCTGTGAGATTGGACTTACGAGGCAACAGGCGCCAAAAAATGCGCTAAGCTTCGCGGCTTCGCTAAGCTTCTTGCATTGTAGGACACTGCGTTTGGCGACAATTTGCCTTTGGACATAGATGCGAAAAGCCTCAATGCCTTGGTGTCCAGGGCAACACCAACACACCGGGGATTCACAGGACTGTAGCAAGGCTGTAGCAGTTCAAGATAATTACCAAGCAGTTTACCAAGCTAGACTGATAACGCACGCAAATATCACTGGGCCCCACGTGATGCCAAAGGCACGTGGTCCCACTGGCCCCCCTTCCCACAAGCGGTGATTGCAGCACTGCAACATCCTTCATCCAATAATCCTCCTTCTGCACCTCCTTCTTTGGATTCCTTGGGACCAAGCAACATGTCAGGCCATTTACCCATTCAAGTTACCGCCATTACCTGCACCGGTCCTGTGTGAGCAACTCCAGGGACATCTGCCAACATTGAGCATTGCCACATGCAGTGATCAAGGCACTCCGTGCCCAAGCCAACCTCCAAGAATTTTCCGTTCAAAAGTCATGTCATTCGATCTTAGACTCCGCAAAACATTAGGCTCAAAGTCCCAATGAAATCGATTTCCATGTCTCCTCTCGATTCTCCAACGAATATCTGAGGGGAAAACACAAATAGGAAAATAAACATCGTGAAACCCGACGAACCCGAATGCATGAATATCTCAGGCTGTGTGACACTCGTGCTGCAGGACACTCATTCAGGGGACCCTCTTAAAACACACTGCAGAGCGGTCATGTTTTGAAGGACACTTTTGAAATTTTGCTTGACACTACACAGTGGCATGCTGAAACACTCCCAGATTCTACTTGTATACTGTATACTAGTATACTAGTTACTAGATTTTGTACAAAATGACAGCTATTTCACACAAACGTAACAAATCATCACATCCAAAGCGTGACACTCCAGAAAACGTATGGATGGTGATGGACACTTGACAACGGTCTCGCCACGTCACGTCGCACAAACACAGCCGCACACTCAAGCCCCCACAGTTCAACGGGAATTCCAAACAGAATGCGCTTAGGTTTCAATCTCTGGAACTGCGAGTAGTGTGCAGTCTGTTCGGAATTTGCTGGAACTCTGGGCGCTGCTGTGGGCGCTGTTAGGGGAGTCCCCCAACCCGTTGCCAGTTAGGGTCGGTACGGCAGGTGGTTGTACCAAGAAAGCTTCAGAATTGTAGTAGCTTCGTTGCTCCAAGTAGCGTTGCCCTTTGCTCCTAGTAGTGTCCTCGCTCCTAGTAGTAAGGCCAAGAGCCCCTAGTAGCGTCCTTGCTCCTAGTAGTAAGGCCAGGAGCCCAGTTTTTGCTTCCCTTCTGCTCCCCTCCTCCCGAGCCCTTTGCATTCAATCGGATTTGGGTTTGGGAGCTTTCGCAAGGAATGATTGAAAAAACCAAGTCAATTGAGTTGCTACCTGCTGTTGGGTTGCTGGATTCATAATATGTATACAAAGTGAGTCGAATGCGATACTTTCGGATGTTGTGAACTGTCATTTCTCAAACACTACTAGGAACGACACTAGGGGCTCCTGGCATCGCTACTAGGAGCAAAGGACGCTACAAGGGGCTCCTGGCCTTACTACGGAACAAGAAGCTAGTAGAAACAAGTGCATCGCCATCGTTTCTCTCGCCTCTCCGCAGTTTCTACCCGCTTGAGCTCCTGCCAAACCTCCAGTGCTTCGGGCCAGCGCTGGGCCCGAGCGAGCTTCGCCAACTTCCCAGCAAGACTGGCCAACATGACCTACACGCACGTTCCAACCTACACGTTTCTTATACCCACTTCGCAAAGAAATGACTCAAACTAGCCTCTCGGCTGGCCTTCGCAAAACAAAGGAAAAGGATGGAAAGGTACATGTGGTGGTACATCCAGAATGGATGCAAAAGATTTCATGATTTCTGATGAAAAAGTGTCCAAGTGTTAGCTTGGATGTTGCCGTCTGAACCTATGTGAACCTCGTATTCATACACATTGTGCTCGATCAAGTCATTTGCACAAGCTTTCTCGCCTCTGCCAGTCGGCACCATGCGCAGGCTGTTCCATGGCGCAATCAAGCGTTTTTCAAAACTGAACATTGTTTTGATTAAAAAAGCACACAGGAGCCCCTACTAACGTCCTTGTTCCTAGTAGCGATGCCAGGAGCCCCTAGTAGCGTCCTTGTTCACAACAAAAGAAAGGGTCTGAATTTGCACATTGCAAGCAGTTGCTTCTCGGTCTGCATGATTCTGCATGTGCTTTGCAATGAGTGCGAAACCTGAAAAGGTGGCATCACCCAACACCTTTGCAATGTCGCTTCGGTCCAGACCTGTTTTACAATGTTTTACAGCATCGCATTTGCCAAACGTTGCGCTCCTTTTCTCAGGATAAAATGCTCGATCCATATGGCGCTGTCGCCCTCATTAAAGCCGCCACAGGCAACCTTTCAAAGCGAAGCGGGTGCTGTGCAGTGTTGCCCGGACTGTAGATCAGATTTCGGCCATTTTCAGGCGGCACATAACCAAGTCTTTAAAGGCGAATCTTTAAGTCCCATCTGCAATGGGATCGATTGGAATGCCTCACTCAAATTGCTTGAAGCACTTTTGGCTCAAGCTTGAAGCTGGTTGGCTGAAAATGAGGAAAGACTCCAATACAAGCCAAAGAATAGTATAGAGAAAACAATCAACTGTTAACAGAAAATTGCCAGAATCTCTTCTTGGACTCAAAGTTACAGTGGCAACTACATTGAACATTCTGGCCGTGCCTGTTGCACAAAGGTGCCAGAAATCGGTTGCACGTGTGCAAAGATGTGCAAAGGCTGAAGTCTAAAGCTAAAGAAAGGTCGTCTTAACGACGGGCGCACTTTGGAACACCCCGAGTCATGTATCACTCATGTGCTTATTGGCAATCTTAAAGATGAGGTCCTCAGTATCAAACTTGTATGTCATAAAATAGCACCAAACAACATAATGAACAACAAGTTGTCGCACACTGATCACTCACACACGACAGTCTTTCAGCTCAGAATCGCCACCAACACGAAGAGGAAAGTAATCGACGTACATCACCTCTACATTGGCCGCAAGTGTTCAAGCTCACGAAAATTGCAACCGCAAGCGGGTCAATTACAGGTCAAAATGATGGGGTTGCCCCAGAAAGTCGAGGTTTTCGTTCCCGGTTGGAATCGAAGCATGTCCAGAACGGAGCAACTAGAGCACCAGCGTCACAAGGGGCCTGCAGGGGGTACGGGGGCCTACGGCACCCAAGCTAGACCTGGTACAGCTACCGCGGTCAGAAGCGAGCAGAAGTCATTGCGTTTTCTGCATCCACCCTTTTGAATTCGTTTTTCTTATTCGGTATAAAACATGTTGTCTCTTTGCTTCCTCCCAGAAAATCGTAGCTTTTGATTTGGATGCCTGAAACCAACACCTTGGAGAGCTCCCTCTGTGTCAAACTTGCCGAAGAGTTCAATGTAATGCAGGGCATGTTTTTTAAACCTGTTTTGGGTTCTATTCTGGCTGTTCGGTGCAGTTTGGTGCAGGGCTCTTTTTTGAACTGCTTTCAGCATCCTGTTTGATCTGTCTTAAAGGGTTCTTTTTTGACTTGTTTTGGTGTTCTTTGTGGCTTCCTGTTTGACCCGTTTTAGGATTCTTTCTTGACCTATCGTAGAGTTCGTATGAGTCGTAGCCGTAGCCTTCTTTTACTTTAAACTCGGGTCAAGACATGCTTGCCAACAACCCAGTGATGTCAAATGTTTCTAGGTACCGGCTTACAATGAGTTGACTAATGGCTATCCTGATAACCAATGCAAAGCCCAGCGCAAGCAAGATCTTTCCAAGCTTAGTGGCTTAGTATTGGATTGTTTTTCTTTAGGCCTCTAAACATGAATCTTTACTTCCACCTTTCCTTCCTTTCCCCAATCAGAAATGGTGTTCAGCCTTTCGAGCTTCCCGTCAAGCGTCGGAGCTTACCAGGACATAACATCCACCAAGCCTGCAAAGCTTTCGCCAAGTCCGGAATCTTGGCCCCCGTCAACCTGAGCATCGGCATGCCACAGCGGACACAACACACAACAACAAGTTACATGCGATGGCCTCCAACCTAAGAGCAATGGCCTATTACCTATATGATAGCAATGGCCTCCAACCAATGTCCTCCAACCTAAGAGCAACGACCTCCAACCTAAGAGCAATCGCCCCCAACCTAAGAGCAACAGCCTCCAACCTAAGAGCAATGGCCTCCAACCTAGTAGCGATGGCCCCCAACCAGATAGCGATGGCCCCCAACCAAATAGCGATGGCCTCCAACCTAATGGCGATGGCCTCCAACCTAATGGCGATGGCCTTCAACCTAATGGCGATGGCCTCCAACCTAATGGCGATGGCCTCCAACCTAATGGCAATGGCCTTCAACCTAATGGCGATGGCCTCCAACCTAGTAGTGATGGCCTCCAACCTGAGAGTATGGCCTCCAACCTACATGCAACAATGGAGAACAACGATGGTCTATCTTGGGATGGCACAGCCCTTCCAAAACTCGAGCTCTCGAGGAATTCTCCTCCAACACCTTCCACCGCGATGACGACAGGTCCGACACGTTTAAAGCTACTAGGAACAAGTGCATCGCTACTAGTAACAAGTGCCTTACTAGTAGAAACAAGTGCCTTCTACTAGCTTCTTGTTACTACTAGTAAGGCACTTGTTACTAGTAGCGATGCACTTGTTACTACTAGCGAACAGTTCAACGATCAATCTTCAATCGAGAGTCTCCGGCTGAGCAAAAAGTGGAAACCGGCGAGAGTCACACAAGAGAACAACGGGGAAGCAGGAGCTAAGGGAAGGAGAAATGACCAAATTTGCGATGACCTACTTGCTTTGGATAGTGAACTTGCCGGGCCTTCTTGCTAACTTCGGTGCCTTCCCAGCTCCTTATCGTTGCTAGAATACCTTGAAATCGCCTGTGGCAGAGAGACGAGAGTCTATGCAGCATGAGTCTGCTCATTGACTTGTTCAATCAAACACCAAAACCAAATATCCGAATCTCCAATTTCTCATGTCCGCCTCTCCAAATCCTTGACTTTATCTTTGTTTTTGCCTCTCTCCACAAGTAAGGCCTCGATAACTTCGGGTCCAGCCTTGGCTTGTAAGATGACTCAAAGGAGGCTGCTTGACAATACATAAATCCAGAGAGCGACAATGTGAGGTATTCAATGTACACTTCAGAATACTTCAGGTAGAAAGGAAGAAAGATATGCAAAACACAAAGGTCTCAAATGGTAAGGCTTTTTTCTCGACTTCGAATGGATTGTGAAGTCGACTTTGTGTGTTGCGGCAGGAGGCTTCAGCGACTCTGCGGCCACCTCAGTCGAGTCTCCAATTCGATACACTAAATAGTATTGCCCTTTGCTCCTAGTAGCTTCTTGCTCCTAGTTCGGCCAGGAGCCCCTAGTAGCGTCCTTGTTCTTGCAAACATGGAATCCCAGTTGTGTTCTTTTCCTTTTCACTATAGGTTGGAGGCCATTGCTAGGAGGTTGGAGGCCATCGCTTTTCCTTTGGTCTTTAGAGGTTGATCTACTTCGATCCTTGAGACCTTTCTTCTTCGTTTCGTCCGAGACAGACTTGCTCTTGGGTGCCAAGATGCCGAAAAGCACCCTGGATGCGGACAGCATAAATTCCAGAAATGTGATGGAGCCATCACCTCGACTCGAGGGGCACATGAAGGGCTTGCACTTTGCATCTTGAACATCTGCATTTCAAGCTACCATCCGCATCCAAATCTTGCATAAACTTGTCCACTGACCGGCAATTGTGAATACCTCAAGGCTTTGGTTGCTTCAACTCAAGTGTTAGCTGGATTTGTCAAGTGACTTGCATCCTGAACATTGCAGAACGTCAAATACTCGAAGGCTCCCACCTTCGCAAGTACAGCCTTCACAATGACCCAGGGATCGCAGCAGGGCATTGGACAAAAGCTCGTCCCTACATCGGCTTCTCGATCGGCTTTTCGATCGAAATCGAATCGAGCCACACAGTGTGTGGCTAAAGTACGACCAATGGACTATTGGAAGCAACCGTGGATCTCTTACTGCCAATTTCAGATGCTCACGCTTGCAAGCACCTCCAGTTTCCTTATCCGCTTCCCTTCCGACAACACCTCAGTCACCTTAGCCTTTAGTTCTGCACAGTTGGGCGAAAGAGTTTGGGACAGGAAGAAACATAAGGAACAAGAAGCTACTAGGGGCTCCTGGCCATACTACTAGGAGCAAGGACGCTACTAGGGGCTCCTGGCATCGCTACTAGTAACAAGAACACACTTCGTGAACACTGATCTCCAGGCCGAACCTGTCCAATGTTCCACTACCGTCCTTAGTTTGAGAATGGTTTGATATACCGAATCGAGGTGAAGCACTGCGCAAGCAGTAAGCCATCGATCTACCTAATAGCAATGGCCTCCACCCTATTAGCGATGGCCTCGGTGTTCAAGTGTTGATGTACAGAGGCTCAAGTCAGTGTTTACAACGACAGCCAAGGACTGGTGAGAAATGGACAAACCAACGAGTTTCACCTTGAAAACAACAGTGGTCATCTCCGTAGTCGAATCAGTCTGGCTCTTTTCGAGTGTCTTTATCCAAAACTTCAAAGAGCTCTCTCGCAGCAGCCAAATCCTCGCTGCTTCTGGCCTCCAACAGCACAGAAGAATGACTAGCCTCAGATCCACTGAGAAGAAACACAGTTTTTCAATGAACAAAGCACACGTACATATATGCAATGAGTCATTAATATATATATATATGCTTATTTATATATACACACATCAATTACGGCTTCTTGATATTTGTTTTTGTATTGATCTTCCTCAGCTCCTTTTTGATGCTTGAGGGCTGCATCCGCCAAAGGCCGCTCCAGACGCCAATAGAGCACGTCGCAAGCAAAGCGCACAGGTGCCAGGTCTTCGTAAAGACTTTCAAAGGCCAATGCCTCAAATGCGATGAAGATAATTCTTCTGCTGGGATTCTAGGATTCTTCTTTCTTCAACTTTGCTTCAATGGCATATGTTTGTATTTCAAACATATGTTCAACAACATGATCCAAAACATCTTTTCGAAAGTTCATCACCTCGGTACCACGGGCTCAGATTGGGCGATGGCATTCACCCCTCGCAGCATCTGTCGGAGCCTGGAGCCCTCCACAAAGGCGAGCTGTTCTTCGGTACAATTGAGGCCTCGTGACGGGCGAGATATTCTTCCAAAACAAACACAACACATCCGAACATGTCTGAACACATTTTTGTGGGAGCATTTTAAATACTTTGTAGCCGGTGCTAGTAACATCTTTGCTACTACTCGGCTTACGGAGGGCAAGGCTTCGAAGAGCTCGGGCCCAAACCCTTTCGTTGACCCTAATAGCAAAACAAAGCTAAGAGCATGGAGCGATGGCCTCCAACCTAGTAGCGATGGCCTCCGACCTACTATATAGTGGTCCTAACTGTTCCGAACGGTTCCTAGATGTTTGAAGGAGATTTACCTTTTGTATCCAATCGTGGAGCAATCCTGCATGAAAACGAAAGAGCTGAAAGGGGCATCCTTTGCACCATGAAATCAACAAACTTAGGGACTTAGGGCAACTACACGACTATGTAGTACAAGTACCTTAGGTTTACAGATTTAGTTTTGAATTCAACCGGCCTTGTAGCAACTGGCGGAAGCGAAGAGCATGCTGTGACGGAGCCAACACCACCTGAAGAGCTGCAGGAGATTTGATTGACATGTTCGAAGTAATGACATGATTTTCCATTGCTCAACAAAAGACATAAACACATGTCACACCCGTTTTCTTTATATGGCTTTTTGGGCCCCCCATTTGTTATCCTTCACACCACACACCAAATCTGTCTACCTTGCCAAATCTCCAGGTTGAGATTTCGTGAGCACGTTTGGCGAATCCAAACGCTAGGCCCTTGAGCATGAACATGAAAACATGTGCTGACCATAGAAGCGATGGCCTCCAACCTACTATGGTTCCTGGACTCTGTCGTTCCGTTCTATTAATTTCAAGAGATGCGACAGGATCCTTGCCGTACCAAATGGTTTTTAGTCAACCTTAAGTTAAGACCTTTCTTCCTTTCCTTTTTCTTTTTGTTTTCTTCATCCTTTTTGAAAATTCACCGACACAGCTGTGCGAACAGGTCGTAGCACGAGCGCGATGTGCCAGCTAACAGAACAAATGACCAATTTTGGATCTCTGTGTACTACTTCGACCTCACATGACTGCGGCTATTAAGCTGTGCCACGTGGTCACTCTTGTGTTCGTGTCGAGCTTGCAGATTTCTCCTGCCAAAGGTTCGATGTTCTATGGCTGGCTGAGAATCTGACTTGAAAGGTTCTACTGTCAGGTGTCGAACTTGAGATTAAGGTTCTGCCTCCAACCTACTAGCGATGGCCTCCAACCTAGCAGCGGTGGCCTCCAACCTAGAAGTGATGGCCTCCAACCTACTAATTAGCAAACTATATTACACCTTTCTTCTTTCTTAGAACCACGCCTGTCAGGTGTGGAATTCAAGCTTGGCAAAGCCATAAAAGTGGACCCCCTTGGCAAGTATTGTCCATTTTTCAAGTCGAAAGAGCCCAACTTCAAAAGCAGAGTACAGCAAAGGACTTCAAAAGGACACAAAGTTCCTCGATTCCTTTTGTTTGCCTTAGGTCTTCACCATCTCCAAACCTTGCAGCAAAACACTCACAACACATTGAGGATCCTATGAATTCCTATGACTATATATTGTATGAAGACTTCCTTATATTTGAACCGTTGAAAGGGAACACCAACACAAACAACAACCAAAATCAATTCACAGTTAAGACCGTCGTGTCCGCGACAGGGCAGCGGCAGCGGCCTTTTGGAACCTTGAGCCAAAAGCACAGTTGTACATAAACTATGTCTTTACATGGAGGGTTACTGTACACAGGAATTCTCAAGTCCCCCCTCATAGTGTGATGGACAACTGTACAGCTAGTATTCCAGGTCTGAGACAGTCGCTTCATTGATTGAACCGTCTGTGACCTGACAATTCCTATCGAAAGACTGCAAGCGAACATTACAGGCTTACGAACGGCGTTTTGGGAGAGGCGCTTTGAGCAGCCAGACTCCCTGCGTGCAAGCTTGGCGCTATGCTCGGCAATAGCACTGTGCGACGTGCATTGTCCGGACTTTCATTCAAAGCAGATCTAACTTAGTTTTGACCTGCGACTGGTTATTGCTTAGCTCTAACCATTTCATTCATTGCAGATCTAGCTTAGCTTCGAACCGCGGCTGACTATCGCTTAGCTCTAGGCAAGTCGAACTCCTGCCTGCATCATAAGACGGGAGCGGACTCAGGGAGAATTGCAACAACTCTAAGGCATTTCTCCATTTGGATAACGGCAGTCCTTTTGTAAACACGTCACCCTTTTGCTGAGTCGTTTCGATATGCTGGACTGTGATGTCATCAGCGTTATTTATTGTCTCGGCAGTTGAAGCCACATGTATGCGGTGGGTTTTACTCAAATGCCTCAACTCGTTGGAGTAACCTTTCAGGATAATCGAGACTACAGCTGTATTGTCTTCGAAAACCTTCAGGGTCATCCCTGGGATCAACTCTTGCCACACTTGCAAGGTTGGGATTGCCTCTGAGAAGAGGGCTGTCGAAAGCGAAACAAACTTGCTCTCTGTGGTTGATCTCGAAACTATGCTTTGCCTCTTAGTGCCCCAGCTCACAGGAGCAAAGCTGGAGGGTCCCGACACTGCAAGGACGAATCGTGAGGTTGAGCGCATCGACCTGATGTCTCCACCGAAATCGGCATCGCAATACAGGGAGAGATTCAACTGCTCCGGCGGATCACGAATGCACACATCACAGGGGAGTATTCATGGGACTTGTGTAAGTACCCAATGAGCCTCGCGACTCGTTTGTGACCACACCGTAATGTGCGTCGCCAACAGGGTCACAGCGAATGTGACGTCTGGTCTGCTAATGCGACAAAGCCACATCAACATCATTACTAATTTGGCCGAATGCGGCGAGAGCTGCCCCTTGATCTTGTCATCAGCAGGGATCAGGGCTCCGTCGTCCCAGTTGGGCGAGGAGTAGGCCTTTACCGGCGTTTTCGCCAGCTCTTCATACAGTTCCACGCACTGTTTTGCGAAGTCTGCTGATTCCAAGGCCACTGCTTTGCTCCCTTGAAACCACACAAGCCTATGATTTCGTCCTAAGACCCTTCCATATTCCGTGGGTGGATCTAAACTTATATACTGCTTGAGGGTCTTCCAGAATCCTTTGTGTTCGGAAGCTACACCTGAGAGAGTAAGGTCGTCTATGTGGACGCTCATCACCAGAGAACGACCGAAACGAAAAACCGAGGGCATCTCACTAAACTCGACACCATTGAGTTTTTCATGCAAGATCCTGGAAAGGTGGGCCTGCCAGTGCGCAGACGACTCTGGATGGCCATAAAGGCTCTTGTACAGCTGAGCGCAAGGCATGTGGACCTGTTTCCATGCCTATATAGGTGAGGTCATCTGTCGGTCACTTCCGGAGGCTGGGGCGATACCCCTGTTTGAAGACTTTCGTGACTTCAATCGGGCTTCGTGGCTTCTGACTGGCAGTTTGTCCACTCGAAGGAACCAGAAAACAGCGAATGCACACATCTCTTGTCACCAACTGAAAGCACTGACATTGCTAGCGCTGACAACTTGGCTTCCGACTTGGCCGCTGGCTGAGGTTAGCTGAAGCTTTCAACCGAACTAACCAATTGTGGAGAAGACTTGGTTGTTGAACGGTTTTTTGTCAAATGAGAGAAAGGCGCGGGTTTCAAGCCAAAACTGGCTCCATGGCCAAATGGACTACAAAAACACACTGCACGCCTCTCATAGACCCCTGAAGCCAGCAACCGAGTCGTAGCAGCGTGGAAGTATGTTTGACGTATTGGAAGTCGAAAGCCTGTTGGTGAGGTGTGCGAGTTGCAATATGAATGTGCAATCTAAACAAAAGGGCGCTCCACACAATCCCACCGCCTAAGGCGCAACTCAATGCAGCCCTCGAGAAGCGACGCGAGGCTGGGGCGCGGCTGGTCGGCGCAAGAAACTAGCCATTTGAGATCTGAGAAGGGGGTATTAGACCAAACCCCCATCAAAAGTGACAAAAATACAACTGTGAAAAGTGGAAGACATGGGCGTACCATGCAAGCAAGAAATCGGTGTCTTGCAACAGTGAAAAAAAAGAATATGGTCATCTCTCTCGGCCTGTAAAGTTGGCCAGGAAGCTGTGGCATTGGCCAAACAAAAAGTCGAGAAATACATGTAAAAGAGTGCGGCTCTGAGAAAATTGTGTGTAAATGAGTGTGGCGCTGGACCGCTCCATGTAGTGAGACTCGATTTCTTATGACGTTGCTTTGTTGTTTTGTCTCCGAAATCTTCCGCGATCTCGACTTCTGTGGATGATGAAGACTGGCAGGCGTCTTTGCAAACTTCAAAAAACACAAAAAGGGACAAAGACTGGAAAAATGATTCCTGACGTGTAAGAATGTCAAAAACATGAACCGCATGAAGACCCCATGTGAGAATGTCAAAAACATGAACCGCATGAAGACCCCAATATCTGAGCAACAAAAATGATCATGCGAACAATTTTCTATCTGTATTGTTCGTTGCGTTCTCGTTGCGTTATTGCGGCCGGGCCGCCTATATCGAAAGGGAACTCATCGAAATCAAACCCATAGTGCAACTGCAGAATCAGCAAACGCATATTGCATCATGTATATTCTATTCCGTAGACCACAAACCAGCAAGGAATGAACTACATATATGAAAATATTTAAATAGCAACAAACATTCACATTTCATGAATGTTCAACAGCCCTGTTTAGCAAAATAGAATGGAACAATAAAACGTTTCTGAGCTAATTCAAAATTTCGGGCTGTTGTTTTAACTGGTTGGAGCAAGTTTTTTCACCCTGATCTGCAATATCTTGAATAACCGAGGGATGGAACTATGTCAGGGCAATGTTCGAGGGTACATTACCAAGACCTAGAGATCTTTAATAACAGAGGGGTGGAACTATGTTAGGGCATGTTTGACAGCGCTTTACAAAGACCTAGAGATCTTTAATAACAGAGGGGTGGAATTATGTTAGGGCAATGCTTGCCTGTGGTTTCTTGGCGTTTCTTTCTTAAAGTGGTTTAGCTGCAACTTAAATAGAAAAGATGTCTTTTTACCAAAAAGTCTTCAAATCACAACATCCAACAATTTTTCAAAAGAGTGGCCCAGCAAGACCTTGGAACGTTTTAACGCCAAAGGGATGGGGTTATAATAAGCGTCGTAGCCTTGGGTTTGAAAGAGTCTTTTCCCCGATTCAAGGGGAACACATTCAAGGAGGCGCTACATCAATTCGTTCAATGTTTTTTACAAGCAGTTTTCTGTTGGGGTTCTATCTTAGAAACAAAGAGCTGCCCACACTCGCTAACCGCACCCCTGAACTCTGTGGCTCCAGGCCTTGTCCTCCTCTTGTCCTCTGTGGCTCGGCTCTGTGGCTGGGCTTTTGTTGTCGTTGGGGCTCGGCTCTGTGTCCAGGCCTTGTCCTTTTCTTGTCCTCTCTGTGGCTGGGCTCTGTGTGGCTGGGCTCTGTGGCCGTTGTCCTCTGTGGGCTCTGTGTGTCCGGGTCTTGTCCTCCTTGTCTTGGCCGCGCCCCTGAAAAGTCTGGCTGGGCTCCGCCGCTTGTCCTGCCCTTGTCCTCTGGCCGCGATGACAAAGCCTGTCCTTGCTGTTGTCCTCCTCTCTTGTCCTTCTATTGTCGTGCTCTTTTCCTCTCCTTGTCGTCCTCTTGTCCTGCTGTTGTCTGCCTCTTGTGCTTCTCTTGTCCGCCTGACGCTTGCCTGGACCGCGCCCGACTGACAATGGAAGGGCTTCTTCGAAGGCCACGCGTTGTCACGCATTCGGAGCGTTGCAGGGCGGACTCTGGACGTGCGCTCGGGGAGCGTGCTCCGCAAGCTTCTTAAGCATTTTTGGATGTGCCGCGCGCTCCAGGCGCGCTCTGGGCGTTCCTCTTGTCATCCTCTTGTCCTCCTCTCGTCCTCCTCTTGTCCTTCTCTAGTCCTGTTATCGTCCTCTGGCTGCATTTTGTTTTCCTTGTCCTCCTCGCCTCCTCCTCTTGTCCTCCTCGTCCGTTGGCCGCGGTGGCGAACCCTGTGTCTTCCTCCTGCTTCTAGTGGCCACGTTTTCGAGCCCTGTGGGTCCTCCGGGCGTTCCCCGCTGTCCTCGTGCCATGGTCGCAAACCCCGTGTCCTTCTTTTGTTGTTTGTCCAGGTCTGCCTGTCCTGCTTGTCCACGTTGTGGGCCCTTTTATCACCGTCTTACCCGGGGCTTGTCCCCTGCTTGCGCCGTTTTTCCTACCTCCACCGCCTTGTCTGGGTATGTTTTCAAGTGGCTATAGCAACAGTGACACAGCGATCGAAATTCGATATCACCATAGGATCTTCTCACGACATATATCCGGTATTCCATCGTTTTGCGCATGTGACGCAGGCACTGGTGTTTTCAACCGTTTATTGTTTAGGTGCAGTTCCCAAACAGCTGGAGGCTTTAGAAAAGTATACTTGCATTCGTTTCCAACAACATTGGAATTTTCGGAGTTGACGCCGAAGCCGACAAAAATGCTGACGCTGTTTGGGGTCTACGCTGGCGCAAATTC